GTGGGACCATGGAGCTGCAGATTAAGAAAACGAAACTTACTTAAAGCCCTAAGAGCAAATGGTTGTCTTAGCCACTCTTACATTACGTGCACTAGTTCATATCTTCACGAAAGAAATGGACACATAAGCATATTTTACTCCAAATCGTTTCTGGGAGTCTGGGCACAAGGCAAGGCTTAGACTGTCTAGTCCCCAGGGTTCCTCAATGTTTCATCACAAAAGTATCAGCATTGTAAGGTAAGGTAAAGGTAACGCCTGCATATGAGCCAAGTGGCCCATCAGGCCGGAGCTTATCCCAGTTTCAGTAGCATGATAAGACTAGGAGTATTTCTTCTCACCCCTGGACGGGATGCTAGTCTCCGCAGGGTTACCCCCAGCATTAAATTTGCTGGTACCCATTTATACACTGGCATGGAGAGAGGCACTGTGAGAGCGGTGTCTCGCTCAAGCGCTCAAGGACACAACACAATATCCCCAAGGCCAGGGCTTGAACCAGAGATGAGCACACTAACCCTGAGGCCACCGTGCCTCCACATTGTATGGTAAGGGGTTATGGAGAAGGTTATATAGCCTTCATGTACATAGGAGAAAGGAGTTTGCAAAGACAGCGGTAAACTCTCACAACAAAATTGTAGTAGAGTACCCCTAAGGGTTTGCAAGATTGTACAGTTAAGGATTGTACGTGGATTAACTTTCTTAAAATTCTATCTCTCTTAAAGTCACTTACTTTGAGAAAGAGCCCCAGTAAAGCCTCTGTGAACTCAAAGTCTCGGCGTAAACCTATCTGACGCTCTATAAACAGCATAAATAGCTCTAAGAGCTTGATATCTCCTCCAGCTGATGGACCAAGAGAGCGGATCTCTGCATCAATAGAGGATGGTCCCATAGACTTGAGTAAATCAAGCACAGGTTCATCTACAAAACAAATGGTGTCACATGATCATCAAGTTGCTACTTAAAAACCATGAAGCTGTTGACTGACTTGTAAAGCAAATTCTTATGAAGACATGATTGATCATCGCAGTTATATAAACAACTTAAGCGGCTGTGAAATTAAAGCTTGAAAAAATTCGGGCTTCAACGAGATTCAAACCCATGACCTCTGCGATATCAGTGGAGTGCTATATCAAGCAAACAGTTGGCTTGATAGCTCAGTTGGTAGAGCACTGCACCGGTATTGCAGAGGTCACAGGTTCATTCAAGCCTGAATTTTTTTTTTCATTTCACAGCTGCTTTTTTTTCAACTGCTTAACAACAACAACAAGCTTTATTTCCCCTTGGTCTTACAGGTCTTAAGTTGCATATATAGCTGCAATGATCAATCATGTCTTCGTATCGTTTGTGAAGATATGATCTTTCATATATTCACCTGTAAAACAAATTCTTGTTCCATCGCAATGGTCAACTACTTACAATTTTCAGCGCTCGTACAATCCTTTAAAAGCTTTTGAAATTCCGAGTCCGGTTGAAGCTGAGTCATGTTCAGTATCTTGGACTTGACCTCCTGTGAAAGCACGGTAAGGTAAGCAAAGAGAAAGTTTTCTCTCTCAATAACACAATATCATAACCTGGCCTGGACTTGAACCCAGAGCACTCGATCAGGAGTCCAAAGCCGGCGCTAAACAGTTACCAACCGAGTCTTCCATACATGTATGTTAAGACACAATGCAATAATATTCAGCCCATATGTGCATCTTGAAAAGGGTCTCTCTGCAAGGGCCCTCCAGAACACCAAATGTCACGTCTTGGTGGACCATGATTCATGTTCCCCGCTATCTCTTTCTTTGTTACCCACAGATACAACATTATCTTTACTCGTGTTTGACAGGGAGATGACAAAAACGCATTTGTTGCTTGGTTGCAATGAAAACCAAATACCAGAGAGTAATATAACTTTGCCTGGCTGGGATAACTCACCGTGTCATCTGGTTGATCTTCATCAGTTTGAAGAAATTTAGGAACTAGTTCTTGTGTGGTGGGTAGAAAAAACGGCGCAGCTTTTGGTGCTTTGGGCGGCTCTTTTGGCTTGTTTCTTTTCTGAAAAAGAAGTCAAGGTTATCCTGGTCACTAGCGGCGGTTTTCCAACGCCTCTCATAAATCCAAAACTAAAGTTATCGAATCTGGCCAATCACAGGACAAGTAGCTACTATAATGCAATGAACCAATCACAAAGTGAAGCACAAAGCAGGCAACCAGCGTCAAGCGCGGGAAAAATGAGTGTGAGCTGAGTCGCCATTGGTTGCGAAAACCGCATGAAAGCTCTGATTGGTCAGCCACGTTGCACATGTTTTCTGAACACAATTGCAGAGCTTGACAAACTAGTTTTGCTAGTCAATTGAAAACTGCTCTAAATTGTTCCCTATTCAGTACTTATTGGCAAAAATTGGGTGGTGCTCTTTTAAGCCGACAGCACAGAAACAGCATCACAAATAACTGGACCACTTGCCTAAAACAGGGAAAATCCTAAAACATCTCTTTCTGATGTTCTAGTGGAAGTTTAAATTTGCTAACAAGAGGCACCTTAGTTCTGCATGGGAGGGGAGGGTGGGTAACAACAATGGCTGCGAAATCAAGTTACCTTTATAAGTTCTAAGCTGGTAAGATGTCGCCATCTTGATTGAGGCAAAAGAGACAATGTCACCAGCTCATCTGATAGTTGATCAGGGCTCTTATAACTTGCCGTGTTGACAGCAGCAGGGGTTTTATCCTCTCCACCTGTGGTCGCTGATTCCTTTTCGTCGCCAAATTCTACAGAATGTGGAAAATTTATTTACATGCATTTCCCCCGGATAAGCTATTATTCAATTAATAAGTTATTTCTTCAATTTCTAGAAGGTTTTTGCTCAGTTCAACTGAAACCTTTAGATGATTAGCGATTGGCGATTTATTTCCTACAGGTTTGTGCGTCTTGAAAAGTTTAGCCTAAATTTGTCAAGTTCGTTGTTTGTAATCCGTGTTAATCTTCTCCATCATCAACCATCTTTGTTCCTTTATGGTTTATTATTATCTCTTTGGTGGTTTTCTATCTTAGTGAACTATTATTTTCGGTTTTCTCCAATTTAAAGGTAATTTTGTACATGGCCAAAATAACTCAAAATACCGTGACTGAGCTCTGTTCAAAAGTTATCAAAATCGTGAGGTTTTTCCAGAACAATTTTACAAGAAATTCTCAGAGCTAGTGTTGATCTTAAATGTCTTTCATGTTACACGCATAATCTGTCCCCTCATCTTACCTTTGTCAAGCCCAGTCCCTGTACCAGGGAGTTGTTGAACAGATGGCTGATAGTCCGCAGGAAGAGGAATCAACGATACGTCATCATACAGTGTTTTATTGGACCTGACATGTAATAAGATAAACACATTGGTGAGGATTTTCTCAAGGAGATATTGCTGCCCAGTTTCTAGAAATGTTTGGGCAGGTCAGCCATGAATACAGCAGCATAAATATCGAGTCGAAATCAAGCTTAAGATTTTTCAAGGGGGCCTATTTTCAGGGAGGTGCTTACTAACAGAATTAAACGGCATATTACTTACCATAAATACACACCAAGATCATCTACATGCGTGGTGACAAGGAAGTCTGCTATTGGCGACATGGCCAAACTGGTTACAGGTGACCCCAATAAGAAGCAGTCTATAAGTCTGGACAAAAAAACATCGCCATAAGATGGTGCAAAAAGAAGGGCTTTTCCACCATACCCATTTATTTACCTGGGTGGCGAAAGGCTCTGTGAGAGTAAAGTGTCTTGCCCAAGAACACAACACACAGGAGATAAGCGTAGTCTTTATGGGACACCTGACTCAAACGCACACAGGTGATCCCTGGCCATATTAACAAGTTGGTAGTATTAAGGGGATTTTTTTACGACAAAGATTGACTGAAAAATTACATCGATGTTTTGAAGCCATCTTGACTTCAATATCAAGTTATTATAAAAGTCATTATTAATTGTAGCCACATTTGTTCAACAAAAGAATTGCAGAACTCCTTCTTCATTTGCTACTGAAAATTTCCGAACATTCAAAGTGGAATTTTTGGTCAAGTGGAAATCGCCCTGACATGCTCTCCTATTTAATTGACTGAGCTTTTCTTCGGGCCAAAGTGAAAAGTTGAATTCTTAAGGAGGAGCTGTACAACTTTTAAACAAAACAATCATTTCACTTCCACTTGAGATCGTCTAGATGAGCATCACCTACTAGCATAAATCTATAACATAGTCAGTTCCTTACCTAGCAGCTGGTAGATTCCAGGTCCTCACACTCGCATCCATCGACGCCGTGATTAACCAACGGGAGTCTGGGCTAAAAGCCTGAATAAGAAAATGGAATTACCAACAATTTCAAAACAGATCACTACTAGAGATCTACAATTTTGCTTCAGACTGCTAAACTGTGAATGTATGTGAGTAAGAATGTGGAATGAGTTTGTAGGGCTAAACCTTTGTGTGGACGAGCTGAACTTAATAAAGATAGAGAGCTGGGGAGAGGTGAGACTCACTCTCGCCCTTGGCCTCGCTAAGGCTTTGACACTTATTGACGAAACTGGGTCAAAGGCCAGGAAAAAAGTTTACCGCAGTTTCGCGATCAGTGTAAAATCATTACTAAGGCTGTAACGCAGATAGGGATGCAAATTTTGAGTTTTGCATCAAAAAGGGATTGAAACTTTGAGGACCTTAGGGGTAAAACAGCGCTGAAATAAGCCAGTTTTATTAATCTGCTTCGGATATTTACTGTACATTATCATTTGATGCATTTTTTCTTCCTTTTCTTTAGCCGTGAGCCCACCACATGACCTGCAAATAACTGCCTACAAATAATGCTCTGCTCTAAATGTTTTTTGCTGCAAATAATGTTCTGTTCATGCGAGATTAATTTAATTACGCTTTTGTGTGAAAATGGCAGATCGCTTCCCTGAACTGTCAGAGAGTGATTTAAATATGGATACAAACTTAATGATCGAATGATAAAACAATTATCGAACTCGGTTATCGCAAAATATCGTGATTTGTCAGTGTCTCGCAGATCAATTATTTGTCGCAGCCTTCAACTTATGCAAATAATTGATCTGCTGACAAATCTCAATATTTTGCCCAACCTCGTCCAATAATTAATTATTCATTACTGATTCATTACACGGGTGTACTATGTACCTTTACTATCTCCACTCACCATGTCAGTAATTCTGTTCGTGTGTCCACGGAATATCCTAACAATACGCCTCATATCTATATCGACAATTTGTATTTCGAAATTGTCTAAAGAAACTGCCAGTAACGAACTGCGTGAAAAATAGAAATAAAAACATACATTTTAGATGATTTAAACAGACGATACGGTATTTCCTCTGCTGAGGTCCCAAAGCACTTATTTCAATTTTCACCCTTCCTTGCAAGCTAACAACACCTTTAAGTTTACCCATTTATTTCTGGAAAAATTTCTTGAATAATGCCTGTTTCTCATTGGCTAAACGTGTTTATGTCTTGGGCAAATCTTATAATTTCTCGCGGCGGCGGCGCTTAATCAAGTAAATGGCGGCATCTAAAAGATTCTGAAGCCAAACCAAAGGTTCTATTTATGGCAAAATGTCATTGGAGCACTTTAAGGGTTTCCCATTTCCCGTTCTCCAATTAAAACACAGCAAGAGTACTCCGCAGACAGTTACGCCAGCATTACGCAAGGAGAATACCGCATGTTGCTGAGCAACTTCGACAAGGGGGAACTGGGGGCTCAGTTTATTCCCAGGAGAGCGAGACAACAACAATGGGAGGTTTTTGTGCTATAGTTGAGCTTCTCAGTGTAAAAAGGGTGGAAATAAAGTGCGTGGCCCCATATAAGTAAATTGCTGTCTTGTAGTACAAGTTTTACCTGTCTCTGTGTAATAAAATCTGGGTAATGGGTACTTCAAATGTTAACATCTGAAGGAGTTTTCGAGTTTTAAAGTTCCAGAACTGAAAACAAGAAAACATGAAGCGAATTAGGTAATATGTTTCTACGCAGTACAGTAAAGACAACAAAAGCGAGAAATGCNGTTTCTCGCACTTGGTCGCATAGTTGATTGCGTTACTGTCAACCCTAGCACACACGTGGCACTTAAACCATGCCTTGCGTGATGTGCAGAATGTGTGCGCACTATCAAAAGTAGGCACCCTCCTTAAATTAAAAAATAAAAAAAATAACACAGTATTGATAGCACAGGTCCTAGCCCCTGTCGTTCACTCCTGATTTGTCTTGTCCTTGGTAGTCAGCAAGAGATTTTCCCCTTGCAGAATATGAACAGACAGAAACCTTGAGAAGACATAATCTTGGCAGTGTGTGTGTTCCATCTGCATAATTTCATTCCGTTAATTACCGTTTGTCAAGACAGATCTTGAATTTTTCTGTGGAGTTTTACATTGATTGTCGCTCATTTTAAATTTAATAATACACTGAAATAGCAAACATGACAATTTTACTTTTTATACCAATGTTTGTAACTTGATACTATTATTTTCCTCGTAAAGGTATGTAACATGAAATCCTTGTTTTCTCAGAAACGCATGTTGACCAGGGGGCGAGGGGGCAAAGAGGGCCAGGGGGGCCAGGGGGGCAAGCAAAGCTTTTGTAAGAGCAACCAACCTTTTGGAGTCCCCAGACATCCCCTGTGAATCCCTGACTGAATGTTAAACATGTCCACGTGACCATGGGCATCCCCAGTAATGGCAAAGTTACCACAGGAACTCATGGCTGTAGTCTGCTGATACACATTGTGAGAATTTACATGGTGTGGGTATTCATCTTAATTCAATTGCTTTTTTCCTTACAACTTGAAGCAGTCGTTTTGCCCTGAAAACATTTCAGGGTTTGAGCTGACTGAANAAAGTCAACAATCGGTGCTAACTTCAACTCTTCCATCTGCACTCCTCGATTCTTGGATTTCTTTGTCAGTGAACCTAAACAAGATATGCAGACACATCAAGTTAGAAAACACTTTTTAGTCAACATGAAACAGAGGTGATTTGTTACTATGTGCAAAATGTTGAATACATAATTTACCTTGAGATAATTCACAGCTTCGTGCATCTTTGATAGTGGATATAAACCTCAAACTCCTGTCCAAACCTTGTAAACAATGCACATTATTGACGTTAAATATTTATGCTTGTTGTGTCCCTTAAAATACCAGTACAGTCAAACCTCCTATTAGTGGATGTGTCCTGTTGGGATGAGAATTCAGCTCATATCCCCCAAAATAGGTAACCTTTATATGAAGTTTACATACTTTTTTAAACCAGATACTCTTAGACCTTGAACAACTTAAAAGAATATTTCATGAGTATATTACAAAAAGGTCAATTTAGAGACAAAAGCTGATTCCCAGGAACATGATCAGCATACATTTTAAATTATATTACAAGCCTAAAGGCCGGTAAATTCCATAAAAGTTTCTCTTTTTCCAGAGGGCAAATCTCACAAATCGAAAAAGTCTCTCATTCCTGTCTGTAACTATAAGGCCTAGGGCAAACGTCAAATCTTAGTTGAATTTAATTCGTCGAACCTATTAATTTTGAAATAGGCGCATGAATGATGTGACATTTGCTGCAATTAAATTCGACTCAATTGGTTAAACTCTAGCATAGGTTCGACTTGCCAAGTCGGATAATGCGACAGTGGTTCGGCGTTTCAGCAAATGCCGCTCTAAACACGTGCTGAACTCAATTTATAAATCATGCAAATTACAAAATAATTGATTCAAATGTGATGGACTGGGCAAACGTCACAAAAATACATACTCCTCCATCTGCCAAACGCTATTTTCCCCCCTGACGAGCACGCGCTGTACAAAAATAACTCATTTTACCTTTAATTTACCACATGCCTTTGGTCTGTTTTTTATGTTTTTATAGTACAACCTCAAGCTGTAATGATAACTATCTATTTCTCTTCTTTTTTTCTTTGCCCCTTGTCGTCACTGCATTTGTTAGTAGTGTAAGTCGTGTAACTGTGTTTGTTAGTAGTGTTGTTATGACAGGGACCTAAAGAGAGCTGCGATGGGTCTACCGTTGTCTGAAGAGAAGATTTTTGGCATTTCGCTAGCAAGTCCTAGCAGTAACTAGTCGCACATCGAGTGAATAGGACAGGGACACATGCTTATTCCCATGTTTTAATGAAGTGCAACTTGTGAAATAGGATCGACGCAGGTTCGACGTTTGCTACCACGCTGGAATTAAGTCGACTCTTTGTCGCACCTATTTTTAATTTATTCGACATGACTTGGAATCAACGTTTGCCTTAGGCCTAAGTCTCAATTTTCAACTCTTTGTAATAAAATCACCAACTTGACTTCATAAAGATTACTAATATGGTGAACATACTAACTTTCTTTTGAACAGACTTCTTCATCTTTCTCTTAATCGTATTAACTTCCATGCATCTATTCTACATCTTACTACGGGATAACTGCAATATACCTGCACTAAGAATGTCAACTCCACGGCTGCCATAGAAGCGCACTTTAGTGGGTGGGGCACTGTGACTTGAGCGTGACCTCAAGAGCCGGCCACTCCCATCAGGCTGGTCAAATATCCACACCTAATATTAAATAAGAAACATTAAGCAGAAGTATGTTGCCAAGGAAACATGCATGTCAAGCCCCCTTGCTGTATGACCTCAGAATCCACGCATTTCTTATTTAGAACAAGTGGGGAGATTTTGTATACATAATTTAGAAGACATTTCTTTCATTGGTAATTTTGTTACTAGGGGTATGAGGGATGTGAGGTAGAAATTGTACATCAATCACTGTTGGGGCAAGCGAAAATAGGGGATGGGCCAGGGAGGACAAGCACTCTCCCTCCCCCCCCCCCCCCCCCCCCCCCCGACCCATTCCTGTAAGGATCTAAGGGACAAGGGAGGAAAATTCCCCCTCTTCTCAACAACCATAATATCAAGATATTCAGGTATATTTAGCAGGCCACTCATAAGCTGAGTTAGACTGTATATCCTTGAGTTTTAAAATTAGTGATTCATAAATATAATGAACAAATGGATTATATAAGCCAACCAGATTTATAACGAGGAGCAATTTTACCTTTAAAGAGTTATCAGGGCCGTTGGTGACCAAGAGGGGTTGAGAAGAAAGAAATTTCATGCCTCAGACAGAGCCTTTATGAGCATCACGCAAGGTACTTGAAAGTTGACTTTTTTCCAAGTCCCAAAGGGCAATATGGCCTTCTGTGCTGGCTGAAGCCATGAAAGGGTTACCATCTGCAAAGCATAACACAAAATAAAATTAAATTAAAGGAAAAAAATATAGTATGGAATTTGCTTTTAAGTGACTAGATATTCCATTTTGACTTCCCTGTGGCACCCTCTTTGCAAGCCTTAGTAAAGGCAAAAATATTATCATTGGTTTACGTAAACTACATGTAGAAGAGATTCCACTCCACCAATGCTGATCCATTGCAGGGTTATCTCAAGCAATTAATTCCCCAGAACCCATTTATAGACCTGAGTGGAGAGAGGCACTGCAAGAATGAAATGCCTTGCCCAAAAAACACAACAGCTACAATGATGCCAGCCTGGGCGACCTGGACCACTTAATCTGGGTGACTTAAGATGGACTGGCAATCAAATCAGGGGGGGTTAGCCATTACATGCATGGTCATGCCATGCTACAGAAATCAGAGGTAGGATCTGGCAGGTCACTCCTGATCAATCAATTTGATTTTTCAAAACAGACATTAACTTCAACCTTTGTTGTAGCAATAATACCTGTTCTGAATGTCAGAGCAGTGACTGGGCCCCAATCTTGATGAAAACTCATAACAACTTCATCAAACTTGAGGTTATGGAGGATAATCTTGCCACTCTGCAAGCCCACACCTACTACATCCACTGCAGGAGCCTGGTGATACAAGAAATATCCAAATGGTATCAATTTCATTGTAAATCTGTAAACCAATTCAGTCACAAATATTTGTGACATGGTTGCTTTATAAATTCTATTTTT